AGTTGTAACTGATTTATTTGTTTTATCAATATATACCTATTGGGATTATTTATTAAAGCGAAATAAATTAGTATTATTATGATTATCATTAAAAATTCTTCGTAGATTTCAACGAATACATTTAGATAGAAATCATCGTCGTTTTATTAGTATTATTCATTGAAGAATTTCTTCCATAACTGTACATATCTGTATTACGTTTAGCTCAATTAATTGTTTATCATCCTATTGAAATTATGTTAACACTTTATCAACAAACATTAACTCTTTGATGACGAAGCCCGTAAATTTACGGTTTCAAAATTTTGAATAGGCTAGTAAAGGAATCACTCACTGATTCTATCTGTAGTGTAATGAGATAAGTTGATGAAGCTCACTAGTGACATGTTGTAAGCGCCAGGAATATTTTTCGTAAGGCACCATCATTGATTGATAGGGAGCTGTACACGGATGTAACCCAACTAGACTCGTTGCTAGACTTTTTCCTTCTCTTGTGCTACAAACAACAGAAAGAAAAACTTAGAAAAAATGTATTGTATGTGCATATACTAATAGAAGACCTAAAAAGAGAACAGATTCACGTTATATGTGTAAAGATTGCGATGTGGGTCTTTGCGTAGTTCGCTGCTTCGAGGAATTTTATACCTTGGTAAACTTTTAGTTTTTTTCTTCTCACGCGTTTTTTCATTTGAAAATAAACGAGCTACATCTTTTAAATGAGGTCTAACAGTGATAATTATCACCATTAAGAACTTTCAAAATATAATTCATTTTGGAAACACCATTTCATTTTTTATGAAAAAATAAGTCTGTCCCCAAAGGGTTAAATAAACAATTATTAACTATATATTTTTGATTTATTGTACAAATATTATTAACAAGAAAAACAAAGAATGATTAGAAATCAAATGAACATATTTATGCACTTATAGTACGTTTCGTTAGTAAAATAAATTGTAGAAGAAGAATATCAATCAATTTAATTAAACAAGATTTTAATAATCTTATTTGTCATTGTCAACATTTTATATTTAGTTGGAAAAAAAAACGTTTATTCTCTTATGGATATAAGAACAAATATTTATGCACAAATCCTTAACAAATGTAAATAATAAAGGATTATTTTTATAAATGATGTCACTGATATGTTTTCGAATATAATATTATCTTCTATAAATATATTTTTAATCGAATTAAAAGAAAAACGTTTGTTTCACGTTTGACATTATTTATGTATTAGGAATAGATATAAGAGACTTTTTAGTAACTGAATATAGAGGGAAAATATTTTCAACTATAAAACTAATCAGTCTATTCTACTTACATAGAAGCGAACGAACGAGTTTTAATCACATATATTAACAAACGAAAAATATGCACTATTTCAGCTAATACCATTCGTAAAGGAAATATATTTAACCAATATTAGTAGAATGACTGATTTATTCCTATAGAATCTCAATGGTCAAATAGAGATAAACAAAATGATGTCTTTATTATATAATGATATAACTAATCAAGAACATAATCATTAATTGTTTCAAACATATTTTCTAAGATCTTTTCTATTGTCTTATTTATTTTCAAGTCAAAATAATTTATAGAAATGAGAAATTTCGAGTTAATTACACCTTATTCTAAACAAATATTATCAATCGATAGCTACACCCGTGGTCAAAAGTCTTTCCCCCTCATCTCTTTTCTTGGCAAGATTTTCTCTGCTATTATAAGGACAAAACATGATGTTGTTCGGGCCATATAAAAGAGGATCCCTAATAACCCCTAATCGGCCCGAACAACACCATATTTTGTCCTTAAAATAGCAGAGAAAACTTTGCCAAGAAAAGAGATGGGGGGAAAGACTTTTGCTCACGTGTGTATAAGGATGCAACAAGTCACCTTTATCTTATATTTATTGATAGCTTTTTCGGTCAAATAAAGTCTATAGAAGCTCCTATATATTCAGATTCGTCAACTACGAATAACCTACAGTCTATTCTTTTAAAACTCACTGATTTTATTGCAATAGTCTTTCTCACCGAAAAAAATTCTAAATCAATTCAAGATTATCCTAGTTTTATCATATATTGACTAGATTGTCACATATGTATCAAGGTTCCATACCATCTTCAACTCATTAGTTTTTTTTCGTAGCAGAAAATTTTTCGGATGATTATCATAGGATATGAAAATTTATTTGAGATAATAACAAGTTATATAAATCTCTGTGTTTTTTTTTCTTTCTACGATTTTTTATGGATATCAATCGATTATTTTCGTTATCCTTTCTATTTATATTCCATCATTATGGCGTCTGTATCAACAGATCCATTAATTAAATAAATAAATAAATCATTTATGTCTTTTCTTTGCTAAGAGAACAATTAATATTAAATGAAATAAATTAAAATCATGCTCCAACAACACCTCATACAATTTAATTATATAAAAAATCTTTTAATAATTAATCATATTTAAGGCCCCCCCTCCCTTACAAAATCGAATTTTTCAAAGGAATATCGAAGTTGAGTTTTTATCACAGGAAGATGCAGCGAAGCTTCCTCTTTCAGAATATATATAGCTTTTTGGAAAATGACCAGATTTTCAAAGACTTATCATATAAAACTTTGACTCTACTACCATATTTTCGGAGAAATTTTCGTGATTTTTCAGGTGTTTCAGTTTTGGAAGAACTACGTTGCCACTTGGATTAGCGTTGAGTAGAACACTTTTATATTACTCAGAATGTCAGATGACGTTAGTTACTTTCATCTCTTACGTAGTCTAAAACGATCCACTGGAATGAATTAATAATATACCATTGTAATATGATTTTTTCTGGATTTGAATGAAAAAATCCAGTTCTAAAATTTCTTTAGAGTTTTTCTCAAAATACGGTTTCCAGACAGAAAAATTGAAATAACTTCGTCCTATCTCAAGCTATAATCAATAATTCTTTTTGTTTTAAAGGTCTTAATGAGAGTAAATTTTTGTCCGAATGGATTTTTTATAGTTGGTTCCTGGACTGAGAAAAGTGGGATTTACTGTCGTTGGACCACCATTTTTTATGCTTTTAAGACCATCCCACTAAAATGCTCATAAAAAATGGACGAGATTGAATCTCAAAATTCTGTTAGCACAAAAGTTGCGTACTCACATTGGCTTTAATTTGACACCAACCCGAGCTCTCTACCACATCTTATAACGAAGTTATATCGATTCTCCTGAAGGCCAAAAATGACCTGTGAATCAGCTGGAAATCCGGTCTAGTACGACCAATCGAGCTGAAATTTTTACCAGAAACGTATCTCTCCAAGATCACTCATTCCTGAAAATTTCAGTCCAAAAGGACTATCTTAAGTGGAAAATCGTTTCTGAGGGGGCTTAAGAGAGAGGGTTTGCCAGAATACCAGATAACAGGACCGGAGAAAAATTTTTCATTTTGGATTTGATCTTCTGAAAAGAAAGGCCTTTCAGAGTTAGTAATAAATTCAAAATATTAGTTTGATCTAAGCATCCCTTGATGAGTTCTGAAGTACACTTCAATCATAGGGTTTATAGACCTAGACGAAAAATGATCATTTTCGTGCTTTTAATGTAGTACAAAAGCATTCCACTATTTCGAGCATTAACATAGTAATAACTCTTGTAAAAAGAAAGAGCATCATTTTTTCTATCAGATCATGCCTTTTTGTACTCTCCACAAACATTATTTTGTGGACAAACAAAGACTAACAAAGTATTCTTTAACAAAACAATACTTCAATTTTTCACAGTATTGTGACTCTTTTTGACGTCAAAACAGGAGTTCCCCATAAATTTTATGACATCAGAAGATAGCCCGTGAAAAACTGTATCTTCTGATGTAAAAATATCTGAGAAAAAAGATACACGACTGATCCAGCTTTTTCAAACGAAAAGCACGATTACACACTTTTTTATGCTCATCATAAGGTACGCTAAAACGTTGTATACCTTCGTTATCCACTATTTGATTCAGAACTGAAGCCATTTTTCCAGCATCAATAGTGATCACTAAGACTTGCAGAATTGTCAAGACAAGGACCTCCAAAAATGGTGTGTTCTATATGTTGCCTAGTACACATCATCCCCAATATGGAAAAAGGTACCTTATAGTGAACCATGTGTACGTTCATTCTCTACTATTTGATTTAGAACTGGAGCCAGTTTTTCAGTATCAATAGTAATCACTAAGACCTATAGAATTGTTAAGAGAAGGATCTGTAACAAGACTGTTTCTTGTTTGTTACCTGGGAGATATTATGTAAAATACGCAAGACAATACATGATAGTAATAGGCAATACCAATAGTTGGTAGTACTTTATGTAAAGCTCAACGAATTTGCTAAGTACTGTTTGGATAAATAGCGGCATATAGGTATACTGGAATAACTGTGAAAAATATATCTGCTGTAGATGTGTTATCGTATGTGCTTCGATGTTGACAGTAACAAGAGTGGTAATCGATTAACGATTATTTCTTTAAATAAACTGATTTTTGTTAAACACGGATGGTCTTCTATTAGGTCATTTGTCTAAGATTTAGTTGAATGAATGGCATGCTGATAAGCCAACATATAAATTGAATTTGAGATGGACTTCAGCTTTCGAAAGAGTAAACATATTATCAAAGCATCTTTACCATCTAGATATTAGTTGCATTTATTGATGGTAGGACACATTATATTTTAAAGTTTTGTTTTTGATAATACTGAATAGGAAGAGAATAGTATTAACGTGAGCAGGTGTGCACTGGCTACTAGTCAATGAACAGCTAACATGTTTGAATATTATTGTTTTGTGGAGAGACAACCTATATAAGAAAGAAAAATAATTATTTTTCAACTTATTTGAAGAAACGTCACTTACATGAAAATATTTAATATTTATCGAGTGTATTCATTGTGACAGTCGAATCCTTCCCAAAAAATCTAGATCTACTTGACGATATACTATTACGTCTCTTGGTTTCATCACTAAAAGACATGTCTTCACCGGTCTCTGTATTTATATGTCACGCATGTAGAACGCGTTCTTTCAAACGGCGTAATCCCAAGTTTAAGATCTGCGATCGTATAGGATCGTATATAACAAAATACGACGTACAATGATGATCGTATACGATGGAATACAATTTTATACGACCATCGTGAATGGCATTGGTATGCATTGGTATTTTTCTCGTATAGTTTGTATAATAATTAATCGATTGATTATAGTATATAAGTGTTTTTTAGATAATAAATTATTTTACCAATGTTTATTTGAAATTATTCAATTAGATAAATGATTCGTAAATATTTTTTAGTTAATAAAATATTTTATTCTTTTTTATTTGAAATTATTCGTAGATATTTGTTAGACAATAAATAGTTACGAATAATTTTTGAAATTAAATACAAAAGTTCCAAATGAAAATTTTTATGTTAAAAAATTTGAGAAAAAAAATTTCTTTTTAAAAAGTTGTTAAGTTGCAATGTTAGAAATGAAATATAAATAAATGAAAATAATTTTAAAAAGTTTTTTCAAGTCTCTAAAATCTAAAAAGTTCTTCTCTAAAATAATTTAAGAAAAATTTTCGTATATTTAATATAATAAAATATTTATTCGAATAAACGTTTCTTATGATATAAAAAGCAAAATTGATTTGAAGATTTACTTAATAGAAAAATCTAGACGAAATTATTTTTCGAGTTGAAAATATTCTCTATCAATTTAAATAAAAGATGATTCATTTTTGTTTTATTTTCGATAAATCTTGTTATTGTTGTTGATCAATATAATAATAGTAATATTGTAGAAAGTAAAACAAAAAAAATCTATTTTACGTTTTGCATAGTCAGTCAACTTTCTAGGAATGAATAATCAGAGAAGAATAAAAGAAAAAAAACCTTGTGACAATTTCATCGAATTATTTATTTAAAAAAAGCAGGTTGAATGAAATCTTTGTGGGAAATAATTTGAAAAATTAATTTTATATAAAACAACAAGTTAATCAGTGTTTTTTGTCCACTGATGAATATTTATTCTTTAGGATATTCGATTTATTTGTTTTTTTTCTAATTATTAATAAAAAAAAAGAAAATCTTTTATTGAAATATGTTATTAACATTTTCGAATAGAAAATTCTTTATGAAATAATTCCAATTGACTGATTGATATGAAAAGCAAAAAAAAATCTTTTAAGCTTTTATTGACATAAAATAAGAAAAAGAAAAAAAAATTATTTGTTGTTTCTTAATTAAAAATAGAAAAAAATAAAATAAAAATCTTATTTGAAATTGAATATTTATGTAAACTTATTCAGTCGTTAATAGAAGCAAAATCTCGAATAGTCTTTCATTCTTTTTTTCTTTTTTATGTTTTTGTCATTTGAATAATAATGACTAAAGTTGAAGAACATTCATTGCCTTATATTTGCCCATCTGCTGTCACTTTTCATTCTCAAATTGATGATAATGATCTTAAATCAAAATCTTTCTGGAATCCCGATTGGACAATTCAACAAGAAATCTCAATAACTATTGAGTATTTTATTTATTTTTATTTTAATAAATTTATTTATTTATTCATATAGTAAAACTGTCGATAATACAGGAAAAATATTTTCAATAAAACTTCAAATATTAATTGGATTTTTAATAATAATTCTATTTATTTTTTCAATAATCTTACCATTAATGATATTAACAATCGATCCATATTGGCCATCATCAATTAAAAGTGAGGAAAGAAAGAATTTGAAATAATTTTTATTGAATTAATTCGATATTTTATTTAAGATGAAATGAGATATGACAAAAGATCAATTGGTAAATGAATTTATTCTTTAAACTTATTTATTATTAAATATTCTAAATGAGAATATAATTTAATTATTTATCAGTATATAACTATATATGAAAAATCTTAAAACAAATTATTGATTATATATAAAGATTGAAGTAAAATCTAGTTGTTTTTGTTTAATTTAAAATTTCGTAGATTGATGGAGTTGACAAACAATCTTTAGATTATATACAAAGAGTATTATTATATACTATAAATAAATCAAAGAAAAATAATATATAGAAAAATAAATAATCACATATTGATATATAAAATTTTATTTTATTTTAATCAATCAATCAATAAATATTATTTAGATTTATTTAAGAATAATTAAATAGAAAAGTTTCATTTAATTAAATATATAATAAAATATTTATTTCAAGAAAAATTTCAAATAAGAAAATAAATAAATAACATTTTAAGAATATATTTAAAAGAATTTATTAAATTAAATCTTTTATAGATATACAAATTGAAAGAGTTACTTTATTCAAATAGATATTTTCTTATTTATTTATATAACAAATTTTGAAAATAATTATATCTATCTTTAATCAACTTTATTAGAAATAATCTTGATAAATAATATTCTGATAATTAGTCTTTTTTCTTTTTTCAATCATTCAAATAAATAAGTAAATATATTCTCTCATCAAATAGATATCAATTGCTTACTATAGAGAAACACTATTATTAACAAGATTTTTATCGTCAATTCGAAGTAATATTCGCTTTTTTTTCTGTCGGATAATAAGGAAAACTCACTAGAAAAATCGTCCGAGCTTCTCTCTCAGAATATGATATATTCTTTATTTTTCATCTAAATTTATTCTAAATGAGCAGAAAACAATAATTGAAAGACGAATATTCTATCAATGGATTTATTTAAATGACTATTTTAGGAATTTATTCTATACGAATTTATGCTTTTCCTATCGATTCCGATAGGATTGTTCGTTCTAGTCGGATAGCATAATGATTTACTTTGGATAGATTGAAAATGTCAGTTTAAAAATATTTAATTATAATCTTTATAATATATTCTAAAAAGATAAACATTTTTATTCTTAATCATCGATTTAAACCAATATCGATTATTCGATTTAATTTATTTTATTGAATAATAATCATCATATAGATTGTTAAGATAAATAATAGAATTAAAGAATATATTCGAAATTCTATTCTATAAACAAATATCTTTAAAAAAAATCCAAATAAATCGAATTAGATTTTCTTGTTTATATTATAAAAGTAAAAGGTCGTTATTCTAGATAATAATATTATCTTTTGAGAATGATTAATGATCGATCGAAAAAAAATCCAAATGAGATAAATTCTATTTAATTGATTTATTAATTGATGAACTTTTTTCAAAGATATTATTTATTAATTTGTTTTGAGATATATATAGAAATAAAAACTAATCTTAATTAAAATCTCCTTGTTCTTTTAAAATTCGAATGAAATTTGTCAACTAGAAAATTAGATAAGATATTTAAATCTATATAAAAAAAAATCTCGTGTCAATAAATAAATAGTTTATTTCTAGAATTGTATTCATGTGAAAATTTAATCATTATCGAAAATGTTTATTTAATTGGTATTGATTTAATCTCAAATAAATCAATGACATGGTCAAAATGTTGTTTATCGTGTGTTAATATTTTAGTTTGTCGTGGATTTACATATGATATTGATTCATCAATATGTTATTTAAAAACAAATCCGATTTATAAAAGAACTTTTCATAAAAAATATCAAAGTGCTATTTATCCTTGAATATATTTCTTTAAAAATAAATATAAAATAAATCAAATTCCTATTTATTATTTTCTATTTTAAAATCTATAAATAAATATTTATATAAAAGTTTATTCTTTTGAAAGTAAAAGTTTATTCTTTTGAAAGTAAAGGTTTATTCTTTTGAAAGTAAAGCTCCTATATGAACAAGAAAACTTGTTGATATTCTATTTGATTTGGATAGTTTATCATGAATTTGAATCCATTTATATAATAATTCTTTCCAATCATTTATAATATTTTCATCAATTTCAATTATTTCATTTAATATATCGAATTTTTTTTTCTCAAATTTATATAAATTATTTATTTGTTGATATTCTAAAACTTTTCCCATATCATTTAAATGAAGATAAAGACCACGATTATAAAGAGATAATACTAATTCATATTGACTAAGTTTATCGAAATTTGTTAATTGTTTAAGTTGTTTATCATCAATTAATATTCTATATTCCCATTTTTCAATATAATTTTCAATTGAATAATTAGTTAACATATAATCAGCAATAAATGATGAATGTAATACTGATTTATGAATTCTTAATAAATGTTTACGATCAATTGATGATAAACTAACATATTTATTAAATAATGATGAATATAATGGAATTGATGAAATTATTTCTTTAAATCGATCACTTGAATTTGATACCTGACAATTAACATTTTTTTTTTATTTTCACCATTATATATAGAATAGAAACATTTTTTTTTCCATTTTCAGATTATCAAACCAAATCAAATTATCCTATTTGCTTTTTTTTTTATATAACTCTATTAATTATTTGTTTCATAAGATAAATATTTCGAGAGAATTTTTTTTTTAAACCGATCATATTTAGAGATTTTTATTCCATATATCAATTTATTCTTAGCTACACAATTCACCTAGGAGAATCAGTGTAAACCGAATACATCAACAATGGGACATACTTTTTTATCTGCCCTTTTCAACAATCGAATCAGATCGATTCACCATCGATTTTTATATTATTTTATTTGAGGTTAATTCATTTTCTAATAAATTATCTTTTTTTATTTTTTCGAAAAATATCTAATAATAGAAAATAATCCTAATAAACTTTTAAGATTGATATAGAAATAGTAGATAAATTGATTTTAGATTTATACTATTAATATTATAACTGAGATTATTTTCTTTTATCATCCTTATATTAATTAAATGAAAATAATCTTCTATTCAATGTCTCAATCAATTTTTAGTTTTATTAGTTGATTATTTAGGATCTATTCAAAATCCATTTTATAAACTAACTTCGAACAAACAAAGAGCTATGAACAATTATTCAACTGATGATTGATATTATATATATAATATGTGATATTGTTTCAGTAGAAGAATGAAGGAAATGTGAAGTATTTTCGAAAATGGTTTAGATAAAAATAAGCTAATATTATATAAGGAGCGCACTCTACCAACTATATTAGGAGGGAAATCTTTTTCAAATCAGAGGTTTATTCCTGCTTTTTTTCATTTATTTTTTCCGGTATTGAATACAATAATAATTATGCTATTATGGATTGATAAAAATCATATAGAATTTCTAATTATATCAATCATTCATCGATCTATCATCATTAATTTTAACACAGTAATATTATATCAGTAGATCTTCATTTTTTAATTGATAGAAACAAGCTTATATATCATCTAATTAAATTTTTGTAATATTATAAAACATATTGATCAATATCTTCTTATAAGGGTAATGATCGACTGAATATTTAATAGGATCCTCTATTTAAATTAAAGAAAGAATTAATTAATGCACCATATACAGAAGAAGAAGAATATTGACCAGGATGTCTTCATTCACAGTTAAAATTGAGATTGTTGTAGAATAACTAAACGAAAATGATCATTTGTAGGATTATCGTTGATTCGAATTGTGATTGGTGATCTACAATCAACCAGGAAGATATATCGACGATTGATTATAAAGTTATCGAAAGAAGTTCATTGTCAGATAATATTTCAATTTGATGCATTATCAACTGAAAAAGATTTATTAAAAGATAGACAATCTTATAGAAAGATTTTATCAATTCCATAAGGATATCTCAGTTTAGTCTATAATAACACATCATCATGGTCTTCATTGCATAAATATTTCTTAGAAATCTTATACTAATGTGAGAATTTCACTTAACTATGTGGATCTTGTTACTCGGACTAGAATTTTATTTGACGATCAAAGATGAATTAATTCGATTATTAAAAAAGCGTCAAGATGGATCAACATTGATGAAGAACGAAGAATAACAAAGAACAAAAGGCAAGAGGAACTTTTTCTATTTAATATTGAAACGAATAAGTAATACTTTCTTGCTTAAACGATCATTCAATAAATTGTTAGTTATTTGTTAAATCTATATAAAAGGAAATATTTCATTCTCATCATCAGAATCGTATCATCGACTTTTTTTTTCACATTTATTAGGAAAATATTTCAATCTATTATAAATTAGGTTGACGAAGATGTATTTCCCTTTTCAACTGATAGATTTATGTAAACCAATAGGAAGATCTCAGAGAAAATATAAGATAAACTTCTCAGAAAATAATCTAGGAATTGATTTCTAATCCACTACAGTCGAAATCAGACCTTTTAACAATTGGATTAGACAATCGTCCTATCAATATATATTAAGTAACAGGCATAGAGTTAGAAATTTATTCTATTTTATTATGATTTAAAATCGATAAATGAGATAGGTATGGAATTCAATATCGAGATTGTTTATTTACCTTAGAGACATTCTTCCTTGAATAGAGTCGAGCTATGTTGATCGACTTTAAAAGAATATCTAGCTAAGATAACGATTTACTTTCAACCTTATCAATATCCGTCAACTTGATTGACAGTTTATTCTTGGTTATAATGATAATGCAACTACGAATCTGATCAAGCAAACTTAACAAATTTAAAATTGTCGATCAATCTATGCAAGAAAATATAAAATCTATCCTTGATAATCAATAGAATATTGATTGTTAAGATAGACTTTTTCATATTAACCTTATTGAAGCTGTTTGTGTCATCTCTTTCTATAATCAGTTTAAAAAAATATAAGAATCCTATGGAGAATATTCCTATTAGAATCTAATCTATATTTATTTCCAGGTTAGAAATAGTAGTGTCCACGATGAAGACCTTTTTTTTCAAATTCTAACAACAATATCAAACAGATAATATACTTCTACGATAGATTTATCGAAACATTATTGACAATCATAAGTTGAATAGTTATTCATAGCTCTTTGTTTGTTCGAAGTTAGTTTATAAAATGGATTTTGAATAGATCCTAAATGATCAACTAATAAAACTAAAAATTGATTGAGATATTGAATAGAAGATTATTTTCATTTAATTAATATAAGGATGATAAAAGAAAATAATCTCACGAGGGAACCTATTCAACTGTCCAATCGCTTTTGAGTTCGAACTCAGTTTGAAAGATAGACCCCAGTGAGGTATGAAAAGGCCCAAAAGGATAAGTGCCCATAGGCCTTCCGTCCAGAGTTATAGGCATTTTACTAGATTTTTAGCCTATGGCACAGTATATACCAAAAAATCGAATGACAATATTTCGAGCTGAGATTATGTCCAAAGATAGGTCTATGTACCAATAGAATGCCCTGAAAATTTCAGCTCAAAAGAATGTTCCAATCTCGAGATATTGAACACCCAAAAGCCAAAAAATTCTAGCATCATTCGCGGGATATGCGTGATTTTTGGGAGTTTAATATCCCGAGATTGAAACATTCTTTTGAGCTGAAATTTTCAGGGCATTCTATTGGTACATAGACCTATCGTTGGACGAAATCTCAGCTCGAAATATTGTCATTCGATTTTTTGGTATATACTGTGCCATAGGCTAAAAATCTAGTAAAATGCCTATAACTCTGGACGGAAGGCCTATGGGCACTTATCCTTTTGGGCCTTTTCATACCTCACTGGGGTCTATCTTTCAAACTGAGTTCGAACTCAAAAGCGATTGGACAGTTGAATAGGTTCCCTCGTCAGTTATAATATTAATAGTATAAATCTAAAATCAATTTATCTACTATTTCTATATCAATCTTAAAAGTTTATTAGGATTATTTTCTATTATTAGATATTTTTTGAAAAAATAAAAAAAGATAATTTATTAGAAAATGAATTAATCTCAAATAAAATAATATAAAAATAAATATTGAGGTTAACTTATTTGAATTGTTGAAGAGATAAGATTGTTATCTATTGTCGTTGTCGATATATTTGTTTTAGATCTATTATTAGTAGATTTCGAGTAGAATAATAAAATTCTCTTTTATTCTAAAAAATATTCATCAAAGATTAATTCTTATCGGAGTTAAATAGAAAATCTAAAGAGAGAATAAAAATAATTTTCATAATAAATATTTATTTGTTATAAAAATATTTTGTTTTGTTGATATGTTGATCGAAGAGGAAAGATAATCTCGATATATCGTATTCGTCCTAGCTTCTCATTTTATTTAATGAAGAGTCTCTTTATCAATATTCTTCTATTGATTGACAATTGAATAGTTATTATCTATAAAGATGAATATATTAGAAATAAAATCTCGAAATTCGATCAATTTATTTATGTATTTTTCATTAAAGTGACTAGACGACCTCGATTCAACTGTTAATAGATAAACTAATTGGTTATATAATATTGAAGATATAAAGTATATTTAATAAATTGCTTTTTTTTTATTGTCACTGATTTAATAAAAAAAAGGATAAATTTATTTTAGTTTAAAAAAAGAAGAAACGATTTGAGGTGTTTATTATATAAATAGTAGTGACTCTTTTTGTTTAAATCTTAATCAAACTGATATTTGATAGACTATTTAAAAAGTGTTAGTCGACGGTTTGAATAAAAAAGAAATTTTAATAAATTGAACGTTATCTCGAAAACTAATCTTATTCAATGAGTTCGATTTAAAAAAAGAGCGTAACTTGATCTTAGCTATTATTTCGATATAATCCTTAAGATAAATTCCTATTGAGAAATGTTAACTTACTCTTAGATAAATAACTAACTAATTATGGATTCCTAACCAGTTATCAACCAATGGATAATCAAACATTTTCAAATTTATTAATCAAAGACTTTTTTTCTAAAATAATAATTCGTTAGAAAGATTTATCAAAGGTTATCTGACTTGACAAATCTAAATCTCTAATCGCTTTTTCGAAATTAAGATTGATTGAGATTAAGATTGATCGAGTTAGAAAAGCTTCGATAAATATTTCAAAACTCTAGTTACTTTAGAAAAAAGAAAATGAAGCTTTTCGTTGATAAAGTTGAAAATTTTCCATGGTCGATTCTGATTTCCCGTTAGTCAATAACTAATAATAGATCCATGATTAATTATCTGATAAGGTAACTCTAGAGTAATTCTAACGTTCCATTCTCTATTGATTTATTTTATTTGGATAAAAATTATTTCTCATGCTAATTGATATTAACTAGAGAAAAAACAAATCTAAACTAGAGATAAATTTATTTACTTGATTAATAAATTCCATAATTGATATAATACCATGAATATTTTCATAATTGTATTTTCTTTGACTAAATTCGATTAATGAATCAATAATTAATGATGATGATGATGCATCATCTTTCAAAAATTTAACCTTAAACAAAATTTGTTTAATTTTAGAAAATTTCTTTTCATTTTATCTAAAACCTTTTGTTTTGGCATAATTAATGTTGATGGAAGATATTTTGGAGCTATAAGAGCAATAATAGGTGCACTATAACCAATTATTGGAATTGAAAATAATAAAACAAATGGACCTCCAACACGAATATCATAACGAAATTGTTCAAATCCGATTTTATCAATACGGGTTAATGAATTAACATCTCTATTTTAGATTTTTTTTTATTAAAATAAAAAGAATAAATTTATTTTGAATAATATTAAATAAAATAAACAAACTTTTTTCGAATTTCTTGAACAGATTTATAATTTTGATAAAGTAATTTTGATCCAAGCCAATAATGATTAAGAAGATATCGAATACGAGAAATAATCGAAGGTTTTACTCTTGATGAAGATAAACGACTATTACAATTTATTATTTTATTCAATTTTAATAAAAAGAGACTTTCCATTATTTAACTTTCTTTTTTTTCGAACAATTTTATATGAATCATTATTGCTTTTTTTACATTAAATAGATTATTTTCCAATGATAATAATTCTTTAGATGTCCCTATTATACATATTATTATATTTCATTTCGATATTATATTATTAACAAATAAAAACAAACTTCTTCACTTTTAAAATAGTTTATCAACATAATTAGAAACAAACAAAATCGATTCATTTAAATAAAAACTTTCAACTTTTTATGAAAATAAATCTTAATTAAAAACAAAGTTAATATCTTTATCGATTGAAACTATCACTAGTTCGATATCAATTCATTTATACATAATATTAGATTTTATCAGAATAAATATTTTCTTTTTTATAGAATCCAACGAATTTTCACTTGTTTTTATAGAAGTAAGATTAATAAAAAATAATATTCTTTTATCTTAATTTGAGATATTTTTAATAAAAAGAACATTAAATAAAAAGTTTAAATCAATATTTGTGTATCGATAGAATTATTTATTTCACCGAATTCTTCACTTTTTATTAATAATTTCTGTGTTAAAAATCAGTTTTGAATAAATAATTGGAATGAAGATAAAATTCTCATTTTAAATTGTAAATCTTTGTTTATGTTGAATGGTTTTGAAACTGTTGAAAATTGAAAAAAGATCTTCTTTAAATATATTCAATATATATCGATTGAATATTTCTTTGGGTTTCTCTATTCATATAAAAAACAATTTATTCTTATAAAAAATTGATTATTCTACAATTATTTATAGACCAATCTAAAATTTACTTTTTTAGAAAAAAAACCTTACTCAACTATTTTTCAATCATATTTTAATCGTTTCTATTGATTTATTTTCGGATATCATTTTTAATTATTCCGATTGTCTAATAACAAAAAAAACTAATCTATATAGACGATTCAATTCAATGTATCTTATGAAAAAAAAAAGAACAAAGATTATTTTGTTTATATACTTGTTTTAATCGAATGATTATTAATATCTTATGTCACCTAGGTAAGACTTAGAAAAAGACAAATTTCTTAAATATATTATCGATATATATTCATTTTATTTATTTCTATAGATATATATATTGTTAACTATAGATATCTATATTATTTCATTCGATAAATTATTTAACCTAGTGCCGCCTTCTTGTTTTCTTTCTTTATGACCTTTTTTATTTTCATTTAATTAGATAATGTATTTTATTCGGTCTATTAGATAATCTATTGGTATATTCCATATTCTCCCTAACATATCATATATAAAGAATATTCCACAAGTTCTAAAACGATTTTAAAATTGATCGTTCTCGAATTGTAGAAAAGGTTTGAAATAGTTCTATAGAATTCGAATATTTTAATTCTATAGATTAGTATCATCAGTGATTAACTGTAATAAGAGTAATATTTTATATTATTTAACAATTCTCCTAATTATCTTTATTATTATTTTAAAAATGAAACAACTTTTTAACGATAAAATAAAACAAATGAAAATTTATCAATGCTTCTCTATTCGATAATAAGATTGATCAATAGATTATTTAAATCGGTCTACTATTCTATCTCTGATAGATTGACATAAAAGAATAGAAAATTTGTTCGATTCGTTTGTTAATGTGATTTATGAGGACTAGGAAATATGGTAAAAAAAGGACGCAGGTGAGATTGAACGGCGTTAAACATGTTTTTATCAATCGAATTGAACCAATAAATTGTGGTGTAAAAGTGAGTGAGATTTAACCTATTGAAAAGGTTTCAAGTATATTAAAAGATAAACTAGTAGAAGGTGAATAGAGTGATATTGATCAATTGAAAAAAAAATATTAGAAATCAATCGAACTAATTTGATAAATGTTTATAGATATATGTTCATATTTTCGAAAAATAACTCAAATATATGAAATATTCATCACCTCGATAAATAGATAAGAGTGAAAATAAATATCTTTTAAACATATTCAAAGTTTAAAAAATTTTCGAAATTTCTCTAATTTCGCCAGTTTTCAGAAGTATAGAATTGCACAAATTTCAGATATTTCGGGAATAAGATTATTTTGACGAATACCCAACAATTCAGAAGGACCAAATATTTCAAATTTCCGAAACTTCTCTAATTTCATTTGTTGAAAATGTGAACACTGCTGCCCTTATGTCAACCTATCAGAGATAGAATCGCAGGCCAATTTAAATAATCTATTGATCAATGTTATTATCGAATAGAGAAGCATTGATAAATTTTCATTTGTTTTATTTTATCGTTAAAAAGTTGTTTCATTTTTAAAATAATAATAAAGATAATTAGGAGAATTGTTAAATAATATAAAATATTACTCTTATTACAGTTAATCACTGATGATACTAATCTATAGAATTAAAATATTCGAATTCTATAGAACTATTTCAAACCTTTTCTACAATTCGAGAACGATCAATTTTAAAATCGTTTTAGAACTTGTGGAATATTCTTTATATATAAATAAATATTCGAATGTTATTGATTAATCTATTTGTTTTAATTAATTAAGTTAAATAAAAAATAATATTTATAAAAAGTAATAGAAAAAGTAAAATAATGATATTATAATAATTAGTTGTTAAATGAATTATATTTAAATTATTTGAAATAAATTCAATTAATGATTCACAAATTTACCGAATTATAGAAAAAAAAAAAGAGGAAAGATCTAATTAATATGTTATTAAATATATTCTCGTTAAAGATGAAATATTTGTTTGATCTATATTTATTTATATATAAATAGTATCATTGTTTATATTATTGAATGACATTTAAAATAAAAAGAAAGAGAATAAAATAAACAAATAAACTCTCATTTTTCATCTAATCATTCTCAAAATAAAACAAATCGAAATTATCTCAATTATAATTTGTTTATGTCTTATTATTTTATTAAAATCTCTTTATTATAAATAAATTCATTTAATATAAATATTGAATCAGTTCGAATTAGTCTCCTGATTTTTATAAAATTATTTATTTATTTCGATTTTAATCATAAAAACTTTCAAACTTGAATAAGATTGATTTAATAATTAAGAAAAAGTTGAAGTAAAAGATTTTTGTTTTTGTTCTATATCTAAAACTGAATATATAAGCAAATATTCGAATATTCGATTGGAGTTATTCATTATTGAGGTGACTCATTTTTTTAATCAATATCCGACGATGACAGTTTTTATTCTAATAAAAACTCCGAGAATTTTTCTTGATCCCCGTCCGTGATAATCGTTAAATGAAAGAGATTATTCTTGACTCGATTATAGAAATTTGTTTATATTAAAAATAGTATGGATTTTTAAAATCGAATATCTCGATTATGTTTATCAATATCGAGAGTTTAGAATAATTATTCTTGAAAAAAGTTCATCTAGAAAAAGTATCGAGATTCTATTTCTGATAATCTAATCATAGGTTGAACTAGATCATTAGAAAATATATTTCGATTAAATAAATATATTTTAGAAAATTTTTGACAAATTATATTTTATAATAATATTATTATTTAAATAGATAATATCCAATGGTTATCGATTTAAATATTGATTTTATCATTTTTAAAACTAATATCTTAATTCTATCAACTCTTTAGATTTGTAAATCTTCGAATTCTCTTATTCATCTTTGAAAATATCGTTTTTTTATTTTCTTTATCAGTATAACATTAGAAATATGATTTTATAAAAATCGATTCATTTAAGAGTTTATTATATATTTCTATATTATATAAATAAACCATTGAAAATAGTGACCACTTTTACAAATTTTATTCAATATATCTTGAGAAGAATATTTATAATGAAGATAATATTAAATAAATTCTCTTGATATTATCATAATTGAGGTGATTGTTGATTATCGTTTCTTATTTAAGAATTAATTCATTTCTATATTGATCGTGTTTTATTGACATATGAAATAATAAATATAAATATAATTATATTATTGTCAATAGTTAATATATGATTAAGAATAGATTTTATTTCGATATTTATTTCTCTTTACCCTTTTTAAAACTATTCAATAGGAAACCGAATTTATTTAAATATAATTATAATAACTAAAGATAATTATTAATAACTAAATATCGATATTCGAATTCTATAATTAATGATAAAAATTAATTTATATAAATATATTCTATAGAATAAATCGATAAAAAATAATGAAAATATACTCGTTATCAATAGGATTATTATCATCACTAACAATTCTAGATAAAACAAAAATCAATTTCGATAAATAAGACTTTTTTTGATAATTATTAAAAAGAATAATTCTTCACTCATTTAATCATTCTCGATTGATTAATAAGGAAATGTTATTTTTCTTTTTTCATTATAATATATTTTTAATTAGATTTTTAAAATTCTTTTGAAAAAAATCATTTTTATTAAATTAACTAATTAATAAAATCTTTATTATATATATATATATATATATATATAAAAGAGTCGATTAATATCTTATTCAGTTGTTATCTTTATTTTTATTATAATAATATATTTTTATTAAATAATTAACTCTTCTTGTTTTATTATTCTTTTAGTTAAATAAAATAAAATAAAATAATTAAGCGCGAGAATAAACCTTGTCAATTAGTTTATCTCTATGTCTCTCTCTCAGTAAATATTCTTAATCTCTCTTCAATATAATTATTCTATTATTTGTTCTTTTTTCAAAAAAAAAAAATAATTTAATTTAAAAAGAAAAAAGTAAAATGTCAATTAATCGTGGTGAAATAGTAGGAAGAATTTTAATTGGTTTAGGTGTTATTATTAGTTCAACAATATTAATAATAACAGTTTATTTATTATATCGTTATAAAAAAGAATCATTTAATATAAATAAATATATAAATTATTCAAATAATCATCGAACAAATAAACAAGAAGATAAATTAATTAATATAAATAATGAAAAAAGATCGATTTCTATTCTAAAAACACCTATTTTTATTGAAGAACTTATGAGAAAAAGTCTCGAATTAGCTATAACTGCTGAAAAAATTGCAGATGATAAACAAAAAAGAATTTCTCTTAAAGATAATATTCATCTTTATTTCGAAGAATAATATTTTATTACCGCCTTTATATAATATTATTTTAATAAATTAACTTTTATATATTCAATAAATTTAAATAATATATCATCAACAATTATGGATCAACCAACATCAAATAAACAACATAAAATATATGTTTACAAACAAAAAGGTATTTTAGATTTATTTTATTATTGAATTATTCAGATTTATTTCCTACGAAATCAATATTTATTTTATCATTTTAACTTTATTTATAATAAAGAAATGATAGATTATATTAACAAAATCATATTGATATTGACTTTATCAAAAATATAATTTAATTATATTAATTATTTTTTAGAGAATAAATACATAAAAAGATCATAGAATCTTTTACCATTTATATATAAAACAATATTGACAAATTCAACTCAATATTTTATTTTTATCATAGACAATACTTATACTAACCTAGAATATTCTTTAAGTAAATCATCTTTTTTCAATCAAGACTATTTTAATTATGTTCATCCTAATCAATTGTCAAATATCTTATTAAGAATTAAAGATCTTATCTCATCTCAGTTATATAATAAGAGTAGATTTACTTATTTGAAAGATTTAACTTTAACCTTTATATATAAATAACTGTTAGAGAATAGAATTTATTCAATATCCTATTGAAAACATAGACCTATCATTAAAACAAAAAAAGCTAGATTTTAAATCGTCGATATAGAACAAGAGATTTAAGGATAGAATTAAATAAAAATATTGAACAGTTTCAACTAGAATTTCTAAAATGAATTTTTCTTCTCTTCATTTGAATAAATAATAAATTTAATTAAAAATTCTTGTCGATATTGATTATCTATCGAATAATAACCTAAGAGATCGAACTGATATATGATTATTCAGAGATGAATTTGATCTAGATAATCTATAGAGAAATTGAATTCGATAAAGATAATATTTTATTATTTTTAATAAACAAAATCAATCATAGATCAATTTATCAATTGATTTATTAACAAGATTCGATCATTAAAATAAAATAAAATAAATATATATTCATTATTATTGAAGAGTATATTAACATTTTCTTTTTAACGTTAAATTTAAATTTTATCAAGATTTTTTTATAAAATTCTTTCTATATAGAACATTGAACCAAAATAAGATAAAAACAAAGTACACATTTACCATTTTCATTTCTCTCTATAATAAATAGATAGACTATAATAAATAGATAGACTATAATAAACAAATTCTAACCATATTTATTATATATTTAAATAATATTATCTATCAATCCTATCAATAATTATAGTCAAAGAATATTATATTCAATATAAATAGATAAATATAACCTCTTCGTCTTTGATAACTATATCATATTGACATAAATCTTTAAATAAATTGTTTATCCTCTATGTTTATTGGATGTTTAGATAAATAAATAAATAATAGAATTTGATTGAGAATTTGACATATTTCATTGATAAATATTAAACAAAAGATAAATTATCTTTTATATAACAGATTGAGATAGACTGATTATTTTCAGTTATTATTTTAACAAAAAAAATCTTTTATATTCAAATAGAATCTATTGATAATTATGGTTCAACGAAACTCGTCAAAAATATTCCTCTTGGAGGAATAAATTCATTATTAAAATGGTCAAATGAATCAAATGATAATCTTAATCGATTAATGAAAAAAATCAATCGTGTAGAATCAACATATCAATATAGTAAAATACGTTCACAAATTCTTTTAAATATATCTCATTTAATTGAACAATCATTAAAACAAATTGATGAATATCGTTTTAAAATCGAAAATTATCTTTTTCATATTATTTCAAATAAAAATTCAACTATATTAAATCAAACAAATTATATTAAAGATAAATCATTTATTAAATTTCCTCAAAGACCATCTATTCCAATTGAATTATTTCAAAAAACAAATCAATTTGATTTGAATTATTTTATCAATTATTCAAATATTGATCAATCTAACGGTAAGATTATATTCTATATATATATAGATATATAGAAAGAAATTTAAATAAAATAGAAATAAATACATTAATTGGTCGATATGATATTACAAATCGAATGAATCCAACAAATGATAATTATATAATAAATCAACGAATAAATAAAATAAGTGAATATATATCTGAAAATCCATTTGAATATATTGAAGAATATTCAAAATATTTAAAAAAATTATTAAATGAATATATAAAGGATGATTTATATGAAAATATAAAATCAAAAATAAATTCTTTATCATTATGTGAACAAATAAAAGATTTTTTTAAAAAATTAAATCAAAGATATCGAATTATAGTACAAGTTTATATTGAACAACATCTTGATCAATCAATTATAATTGCATCGAGATCTTTATGGGATAACAAATATGATACATTTATACAAGAAACTGTTTTTAAAAAAAATATTTTTATTCTTGTTATTATTTTTTTTATTTATAAACAATAATTTTCATTTATCTATCATTTACTTTTTTTTTCTTATTTAACAATATTTTATTTGGATTTATTTATCGAATCGGTTTCTTTTTTTCTATTTAATAGAATTTCTTTTTTAAAAGAGTTAACCTTTATCTTGTTTATTGAGATTTTTTCAAAATTTCTCATTCAATTATCATTATTCTATCAAATATCGTTTTACTTTTTATAATAATACTTCCCATATTATATCAATATAGAAGAATAAATTCAACAATATAACATATTTTATTTCTAGGATTTACGAAAAAATAAAATAATTGATGAATATCTCGCCTGTTTTGTTAAAGATGATGCATTCAAGAGAAGTTAAACTTGTTTTTTATCAGTATGAGATAATATTATTGTATATTTCTTAATTAATTATTTAATAATTGATGATTATTCATTTTCTTAAATCAATTCTAATTCCACAAATGTCCACTTTTATGAATAATCTTCGTGTTTAGACTTTTTTTTTTAATGGAACAAAACAAGAATCGATTATCTAAACAATATTTATTTGATAAATCCTAACATATTATAGAAGATCTTCTTAAATGAACGATGCGACCAACCTTATCTAAGACTCTCGTTAATTAATCAAATATTCCAAGTTAAATTAGTATATTTACAATAATATGTCTTGTAATTTTTATGATTTTTCAGGTGAATATATCAATAGAGTGAGGTCAACATTATTTTTCGACTTTTGAAAAAAACTAAAATAATCTTTCTCGATATGGTCAAATTTGTTTTATTTCTCTGGAAAAATCTTTAAATTAAAAATAATTAAAATGAATGAAATTGATTGAGCCCCGTTTCGTCGAAAAAATAAATTCTAATTAATCAATGAAAAATAGATTATCATTTGATGAGATTTTTTCATCATACTAATCAGGAATAGTGTCTAATTACTTGTAGATATATTTGTCAAAAAACGTATTATAGAACTGATTTAGATATATAAATAAAAAATTATTAAGAGAAAATATGAATATAGAAAAGAAAAAAAATCACTACTTTTTTATTCCGATTAATCGCATAACTTTTCAAGATATTCATTCAATGTTAATGTTTGTTGTTTAAAACGTTCTTCTAAATTATGTAATCGTACATTTCGATTTACAAATAACTTTTTTCGTCGAGGTAATATACCAGTTGCTAAATGACGTGCTGATATTGATGAATTATAAACATAATCATTTTGAATTGCACGAATGAATAGATAAAAATATGGATGTACAACATTTTTTAAATCATTATTCAATCAATGATGCCCTCCTTCGACATGATTATTAGTCTTTAAACTTTTAAAATCATAATAATTCCATAATACATAATCAAATAAGACATCATCATCTATCTATGTATTTGTCATATAATCAAAAAAACCTTGGATTTTTTCAATATCTTGATATTCATCCATTATTATTACCCATAATTTACCAATTTCTTGTGGTAGCATAAATGCAAGTGCACATGTTTCTTTTTCAAAAAGATTTCTTATATTAATTTCATTTATATTACTTAATTTTTTTTGTTGATAAATGCAGATTGAAATCCTAAATCTTGTAATTTAGTATAAATACATTTTGTTAAAATGAAAATTACATCCTCTAATAATGGCATTTGGAAAAATTAATTTAATAGCAAGAATAGTAACTTGTTCAAAGTCGATTGTAAGAAATTTAGGATTCAAACAAATATTGTTCGTATGATATAAATTTAATATACTATTAAAAATCGATCTGTATATTGGACTTTTTATCAGGTAATAAAGTATATAATTTTGGTGTTGATAATTCACTATTTACCGAATGAACTGAATATAACTGACAGAATGGATTTGGACATGATTTAAACGTTTCATCAAAGAATAAATAATCATTATCACTTTTTGATAATTGTTTAAGAGATTCTAATGTCCCGACTATAGGATGTTTTGAATTATACAAAATAAATTGTTGACGATTTAATGTTTTACTCCAAATTCCTTCGATATTAACATGATCAATTGTACGTAGAGCAGGTGGATAACTTATATTTCTTGTTTTATATAATGAATTTTTCATTTCATGAAACATAAGTATAAATGGTGTAATTTCTAGTGAATTTATATGCAACGATATAATTTCTTCTTGATAAATTCTTTTTTACTACTTGTGATGAATCTTCAATACTTCTTTTTAATTTCATTTTAACTTCTTCTATTTTGCATTTCATTTCATCACCATCATGATTATATGATTTCTTTATGATTGGTACATTTGAACCATATTGTATAGCACGTCCAAGACATGAACGATTTTCGTATTTCCAATAAACAGTTGTGTTTTAAATTTTATCTTGTGTCTAGCGAAAAGTATCAAGTAATAAAGTTGATTTATTACGTTTACTTTCAACAATAGATAGCATCATTTTGTGTAATAATCGATCAATATAACAAAAAAAATAAATTTTCCCTTTTTACTCCGCATATATATATATATATACTTTTGCAAAATTACAGATTACTAGTATAGCGATATCAATTAGTTTCTTGTTAAGGAAATATTTTAAGTCGATTAAAGAAATTGAACTTATCACTCTGATTATACTGTTTTTCATTACAATTTAATTTTTCGACGAAACTGAAATCTCTACTACTAGATCAATAACAAACAAATATTTTATTGAATAGAAAATAACCTGAAAGATCGTCATTATTATCTTTCGAAAGTAAAAAAACAATGAAACATTATTGTTTTGATCATAAAAAAACGTCAGTTATCTGTTGATTTTGTTGATAAACACAAAAAAACGTGAAGTAATCATTCGATCGGTGATGAAAAGTCGATATGAAGAGAAAAAGCAATTGATATGAAGACATATGGTTCCTGTTTTAAATCAAAGATAATTAGTCAATTATTTATCATAATTGATAAAATAGCCTCCTTACTGATCCAATGTTGATTTAAACGATTATTCAATACGAAAAATTTTAAGGAAAAACACATTTATCATATTGATATATGTCTATCACTATATATTCGATTCAAATTTCTGTAAATACATCTTCAATATAAGATATGTTTATGTCAATACATATTAGAAATATATCGAAAAAAAAAAGTATGTTTTACATTTCAATGTTAATTGATAATTGCTTCAAGGGAAATATATTAGAAATATTCAGGTAAAACGTCTTGTTTAACTCAATTGATCGATTATTATATTTGACTAAAAGCATAATGAAATGTTGAAAATTTTCATGATAAATTATAGAAAATAGTTGGATAAATGTGTCGGCAACGGATATGTCTTTCTTATTCTTTTGTTATTTCTATGATTGGAGAAAGAAAGAAAGAAAGAGAGAGAGAGTGACATATGGGAAAACGAACGATAAGAACAAAGATTTGATGGCGCAGATGATGATCATCATCGTTCGGAAGTTGATCTACACTTTGCTTATTAACGACAGACGCTGTCCGACTAGAAACAATTCTCTATTTGACTAGTTTATATCAGATCAGATGAGATCACATCAATAGATTCTTATCACGCTAATTCGAATAATAGACAAAGAGAAAGTGGTCAATCTATTCTCATTTCTTTTGTTTATAGACACTCAATAATCATCTATAGAGAAACACCTTTGTGCCGTCAAGTGGGATTATATACAATCAAACCTTTTCTTTTTCTTTTTTTTGATTTTTATTTATAAAACGCGTGCTCATTATTTTCATTGATCATTGATATATATATATATATTCAGAAAAAAAATTAACTTTGAATATGTGTTTTTTTTTCCTCAATAAATAGTGATTGGTTTAATATTGAATAGAGGTCAAAGGAAATATGATAAAGTAAAAAAAAAAAAGATGAACGGAAAAGCCCGATCATGCGCTGACACTCTTTAGTTAATTTGTTCATGCGTCCACTTCTCGTCGGACACGGCATTCCATTCTATTGGATTTATTCCGGAACTAACTGAGACATTTCTATACTAGAATATATATCGGTTTATTGACTTTCAACTAGATCAATGTCTCCATCTTTATTCATACGTCTATCATCTTATTAACAACAATGTATTATTCACTTCAACAATCTTTTTTTTTTTTTTTTGTTTTGTTCTAAGTAGTATGTGCGCTTCGATTTCTTTGATTATCATCAAATATCAATATTATCAATTCAATCAACGACACAAGTGTCAATTATCGTTGGTCAAAATTTTTTTTTTTCTTTTTCTTTTTCTTTTTCTTTTCCATTAAAATATATTTGTATTGAAATTTCAGTGAAAAGAAAAAGAAAAAGAAAATAAGTTTCCGGCATTTGTGAAAGTGTTGAAAGGTACTTATCTCCTTCTGAAATGATTATGTAAAACAAGATAAGCAATTCTACAATATAAAACTACCGGAAGAAAATGCACATTGCTTGTCTCATCAATCATTTTTTTTTTCTTTTTCTATCATTTACAATTAAACAAGAGACATTAGTTTTTTTTTTTCTAATTAGACAAATAACGGAAAAGAATTTGACTATTCGATTTGTTTTAGTTTAAAATCATTTTTATTTATGTTTCCTTTTTTAAATAAATATTATTCATTTTATATTCAAATAATATCAAATTTATTTAACTTATTTATTCGATAAAGTCAATTATTCAATCGATATTGATCAACAAATAATATGTTTATTTATTGAAAAAAGAAAAAAAAAATGAGAAAAGAATCGATTGACGTGCTTTTCTTCATGTTGATTTAACAGTAGACGAAGATTATTCGTCAATGACTCTATCATTTACTTAGGGCAGTATTCTATAGAGAGTAGTGTTTGCCCTTACTCTAGATATATATATTTGTTTCCTTTCTTCTTGTTGTTCTTTTCTTTTCTTTTTTTTTTTCTTCTAGTAATAAATGTATTTGTGATGGTCGCCGTTTTTTTTTCTTCTTTATTCTTCATCCAATGAGTAAAAGAGTAGTTTAGTTGTTCTGTCTTCCACCCGTTGGCGTTGTTAACAAGCTACTCGAACAAGAATGTAAAACATCGTGTCTCGTTGCAGTGGCACACGACTTGTCAACCAATCGGATTTTTTTTCTTGTTGAATTCATCGACAAATAGCGTATAGAAGAGAGTAACGATCGTGTCTGAGAAAGTAATATACGATCGTATGTGTGTGTGTGTGTTTCTGAGTGTCTCTATGTCTCTCTTTGTCTCTCACTCTCTCTCGTTTGTCAGTGAGTCTCTCTCTCGATCTCTATTTTCCGTTTTCTTCTAATGTTGATTCGTTTAACAATATATTAATATTGGTAACTAAGAAAGAAAGAGAAAGGCAACGTCGAACGACTGTTCGCATTCTTGTCGCAACACTTGCTAAATTATGTTTGCATATCAAACTAATTTCTCTCTCTCTTTTTTCTTTACTTAAGATTCTTTTTTTCTTTTTTTTTTCTTTTAAATAATAATAATAATTATTATTATATTGATCATGTAAGTTAGATTTTTATTTAAAGAAAAAAAAAAACCTGTCGAAATTCTATTTATCTATATCTCTCTCTCTCTCTATATATATATATATAGGATTGCTGGTCTTAATCCATCAGATTCAAATCCATATTCATCAATTAAAGTAATTATTAAAAAAAAAGAAAGAAAGTGAAATAAATGTTTGTTTGTTTGTTTTTAAATTCTAAAAAAAAAAACCCAGGATTCAAATATAAATGTAATTGGATTGAATCAAGATTGTAATAGTTTAGTAAATGGTAATCCATGGCGTAATCCATATTCAAATCCATATGTATATGATGCAGCAACAGCTGTTGCTTTGGTTGGTTATTCTCCTTATGCAGCTGGGTAAGTCAATTGAGTTAATTTAAACTATAAACGATTATAAATAAAAAACGATTTAAATAAAATCTAAGTTTTGTTTCTATGAGCATCTGCTTTTATTCTTTATTTAAATAAAAGATTTAAAATAAAATGTGAATATATTTATTCTGATTGTTAATTATCTTAAAATAGATTTATTTTCAAATGAGTTCTATAACTAAAATAAATGGAATCACTTAGAGAATATAATCAGAAGAAGAAAAAAAAAAAAAAAAGAAGAAGAAGAAGAAGAAGAATCGCCTCGAGTCTAATGAAGTGAATGTTATAGTCTGTAAACGATGCATATCTATTTCTTTTTTTAACTGATGCATAGAAAATGATCATATGAGATCATTTTCCGAAGTAGACACATTAGAAATTGAGAATATACATTATATATTTATTCTATTTAGTTATTCTCCTCACATGGATTTAGCTGGTAGAAGAAAAAATGCAACAAGAGAAACAACAGCTACATTAAAAGCATGGTTATATGAACATAGAAAAAATCCTTATCCAACCAAATCAGAAAAAGTTTATTTAGCTATAATGACTAAAATGACATTAACACAAGTTTCAACTTGGTTTGCTAATGCTAGAAGAAGATTAAAAAAAGAAAATAAAATGACTTGGTCACCAAGAAATAGGTTTGGACCTTTGTTTGGTTTTTTTTCTTTAAAATAATTATTTTATTTAAAGAACAACTGATGATGATGATGATCGAAATGTTGATCAATCAAATAGTGATGGATCTGATGATGAATCAACTTCTCCAACAATTCAAACAACAAATCCATCATCATTATCAACAACAATAACAGGAATAAGAGGAACAACACCAATACCAACATCAACAACAACGACATCACAAACATCTTTTATATCAAATATACATTATTTATCACCTCCATTAACTCTTATTCAACATCATCACATTGAACAACAAAATATTCCTACAGGTTTTATTTTTATTTATTTATATAAAACAAAAAAAAACAACAATGAAAAATAACAAGATTTTTTTTTTCTTTTTCTTTTTTATTAAATAATGAAAAGATGAAACAAATCGAAAAAGAAAATATGATGAAAATGATATTCGAGAAAGGAAAAAACGTTGTGGAATTTGGTCACTTGCAGATATGGCAGAAAAAAATAATAAAAATAATAAAAATGATACTTTTTTAGAAAAACAACAACAAACAAGATCTTATTCAATATCATCATCATCAACATCTTCATCTCCAACATCATCATCACAAGGTTTTTTTTTTATTTTTTTTATTTAACATCTTTTATTTGTTTTTATAAAAAGGTCAAACAATAGTTGGTGCATTTAAACCTTTCAAATGATTGTTGAATCACTCATAGACGAGTGTCAGATATTCTCATTCCAATTAAAATCTTATATTTAAATTAAATAAATCATCATATTTAACAATCGCCGGTCAATACAGTGAACATCAACTTATCTTTATATATATATATATATATATAGACTCTTTATGTTGTATCTTTTTTTTTTTGTTTTTTTCTTTTTTTTTGGTGTCTTTATTCTATTCTATTGAACACTTTTCTTTCTTTTTTTTTTCTTTATTCAACATGAAAAAAAAACTCGAGAATATAAATAAATAAGGTTTTTTTCTCTGATTTGAATTTGTTTTGAGAAGAATAAAATAAATCTATTATATATATAAATGATTAATTATCTCTTATTTACTATTATTTAATAAATCTTAGTAAACAATTAAGATAATTATCATAGATGGTCACATTAATCAATATCTATTTTAATCACCTTTTTTTAAGAGTCAATCTTTTCTTCTTCTCAGCCCGTTTTTTTTTTCTTCCTTTTTATATTGAGTAAACAATTATTCTTTTGTCCTTTTAATAATCAGATAAAAACTAAAAAACGGATGAAAAGTCAATTGAAATGAATTAACCTATTCTCAATATCGTGATGCAATAATTGTTGTTGGCGTGACCTGTCAAAAGATAAAAGAAACGTTAATTCCATCTCACAGGTGTCCTCTTTTTCTTTTTTCTTTTTTTCTTTTCTATTTATATATTCAACATAAAACGAGTGTCAAACCTTTTAGATCGATATATTTATCTTAAGAAGAAAATAATAATCGAAATAATTAACTATTATAAATATATATATTAACAAATCGAAAATAAAAAACAGAAGAAATTTTTTTTTTTTATATATTAGATATTATTTATAATCAATAATTAAGGATAGATTTACTAGAAAGAAATTTATTCAATAGAGATCAGATATAACAGATTTATTTTATTAAATAGAACGAAAAAAAAAAAATCTTCTTTTTTATTTCAATCAATAAATATTCTTTATTATATATATAAACATAGAAAATTTTCGATCAACAAAATAAGTTAATTAAATAAACAATCTTTTCATCTGCCCGGTTTTTTTTTCTTTATGTTTAAACAAATCTGAAAAAAATCTCCTTTTCTCTTTTCTCTTTTCTCTTTTCTCTTTTCTCTTTTCTCTTTCTATTGATATAATGATAAAAATGATTGACATGTATCTCTCTTGTTGATCATCATCAATATAAATATTCTCATATAAAGATAATATTATCTATAATAAACTTCTATTTAGACATAAATCATTGAATACAATTTAATGATAATACTCATTTTATATTAATATTATTTATCACAATTTATAAGTTAACAGATTTCAATTTATTCAAAACGTTTGTTTATATAGAAATCGAATGGAAAAAAAACGTCTGAACATATTCAATGTTATTTTAACTTATTTGTCTAGACAAATAATAAAAATAAAATGTTGAAATGTTGAAATGTTGAAGTGTACTAGTTGTTCTCTCATTATCGTTGACTAATTATGTTAAGTATCTACTCAAATCGATATATAAATCCATTAAATAAATCCTTTTAAATAAAATCTTCAAGGTTTACTTTAAATAGAATATTTTTAAAACAATTTCTCACACTATATATTGAATATAAAATTGTATATTGATATATCGTTAGATGTCACTATTTAATGATGATGTGTTTTTTAACCATAATTAAGATTGATCGAGAAATTTGTCCAATTAGAATATAAATATTGAAATATTTGTTTGAATGAATCAATCGATATAATTTCGAATATATCGATATATATAAATATAGATATCTAAGGATAAATAATAAATAAAATCTTAATATAAGAATAAAAAAAAATCTTCTATTTATTTAAAATTCTATTCAGTATTGTTATATAAAATAAATAAATGTTATTTACCCTTTTTGAATAGGTCAAATGATAATATTCAATGCATTTTTTCCTTTTATTTACTTTGTTGTTGTTGTTTTTTTTGTTTTAGATATTGAATAATGTTTTTTTTTATTTTTTATTCTATTCAAATAAAATATGTTGGTTTAGACGAAATTGATTGGTTAAAGATAATAAAATATTTCGATAAATAATATAAAATAAATCATTATTCGGTAAACTGTTTAGATTTCGATAAAATTAAAAAAGAAATTTCAATATATTTTATTTAAATTATCGAAAAATATTCGAATAAATAATTAATATAAGATATTTCCATAGAAGTTTTATTTATGGATAAAAAAATATTGAAATCTCTATAGATCGAGACTCGTTTTCTATATAAGTAATATGTTCTATTGATATATATTGATAAAGAAAAAAAGTCTTTTTGTTAAGGTTATGTTTATTTAAATATAGTTTTTCTCAAATGTTTATTTTATTAATAAATCATATCGAAAGAAAATTTCGATTATTCTATTTGAGTTTTTTTTTCAATTGAAATAAACTTATTTGTTAATCATTTATATATCCTTTTCGTATAATAGAAATTTAATTATTAAATGATTTCTATTAATATAAAATAATTCGATATTATAGATTTATTTCTATATTAACTTTTATTTATATTATTAACAAATATTATTGATTAAATTGATGATCGTTGATATTATTTTTAAAATTTCATTTATATATATATATAAGATGAATTTGTTATATCTCTCTATCGTCGTTTAAATAGTTAAGAGATTTTATATAAATATTCTATTTTTAAAAAAAACAAATCTTAAAATCGAATTGAATATTTAATATAATGAATTATTTAAACTGGTTTAAGAATTTAATCTATTAACAATAAAATAAAATCTATATTGAATTTTATTTTATTCTAATATAGAAGATTTTCAAAGATAAATAAAATAATAATCGATATTAATAGAAAATTTTTCATTCTTATCTTCGTTTTTTTTTTGTTTCTCAATTTGTATATAAATTTAATTTAATTTTTTTATAGATATTTTAAAAAAACGTATTCTTAATGGATCGAAATCTTCCTGGAAATCATAAATTTTGGTTAAATGAAGATGGTTCATCTTCTAATGATGGAAAAATCTTTATATTTGTTAAATTAACGGATTCATGTATGAAAACAATTGAAACTTTTATTAAATTAAATAAAAAACAAAATTCAACAAATAAAGGAAATATTAAATTTAATCTTAATGGAGGAGTAAAATAAAAAGAAAAATATTTTCTTTATTAAATAAATTTGTTTAAATAAATAGGATATATCAATTCCAACAACAAATGGTGAAAGAAAAACATATTCATTTAATATATCACCTGAAGATAAAACACCTGAAGTTTTTCAATCTATTAAACAAATTAATCGAGAGTATTTATTTATACTTTTTTTTTTTATTTTAAAATATTTATTTAATTAATAAATTAGTCATCTTGAAAGTTGTGCTATTATTGAACAAAAACTTAATATTCATGCCCAAGAAGATGTTTATAGTATGACTAAAACAAAAGTAACAGAATTTCAAAAAAATGAAGAACAAACAAAAAAACAGTTCGTTTTTATCATTTTTATTTATTTTAAAAAAATTTGTTTTTTTATTTAAATAAAATTTTTTTTTTATTTAAATAGAACGAAAGAAATAGGTGAAAGTTCACAAATAATATTACAAAAAAAAACAAATAAATCATCAAATCAACGTTCATTAACAACAACAACAACAACAACAGGAAATAATCCAAAACAACAAAGAAGAACAATTAATCGAGAACAACATCTTAGTCCAAATACAAATATTAATACTCAATCACTTTCTTCCGAAAGACCATTAAGGTTTTTTAAATAATTATTTTATAATTAACTAACTTTTTTTCTTTTTTTTTTTATTCGATTTTCTAAAGAGAACGTCTTGTCCATTTATTAGCTGCAAGAACATATAAAAAACCAGATCTTTTACTTCGATTAAAACATGGTATTAATTAGATTTTTTTTTATTTAAATATTTTATGTTTTTTTTTTTTTTATTTTAAATAACGATGGTGGAATACGTGATGATGAAAAAGATCAATTAGATTCATTATTATCATCAATATCAACATTATCAAAATCAGGAGAATTTATTATTTTTAAATATATATTAACTAGTGGAGAAGTTAATTATGATTGGCCTTTTTATCCCAAAGGAGAAGCATCTATTGTTAAAAAGTTTGTTATTATTATTCTTACTCATTTTACTTTTTTTTTTCTTTTTTTATTTTTAGAAAAATAAAAGAACTTCAAGCTAATGCAACTCGATCAACAATTAATAAAACAACAAATGATGTTAGTCTTTTATATATATTGATTATATATTATTATCGGTCGAAAACTCTTCCGATAAATCTGACATCTTTATTAAAGAATATTGACTAGTTTTCAAAGAAATTCAAATTTTTTTCTTGTTAGAAAGAGTTATGTCTCAACTATCTCGTTGGTACATAAGTTCTGCACGTTTGGATCAGTAGAATTATATTCCCAATATAAAATTAGATTTAAAGGAAATAAATTATGTATTCTGATAGCGGTTGGAACTCTCTATCACCCTCAGATCCATACGAACTTCATTTTGTTTGTTTCTGATGTGTTTTTAAAATTTAAATCTATACACTAATCTGTTTTTTCGAAAAGTAAATATAGATTCTGAGTCCTTTAAATGGTCTATCACCCTGTATATTCAGGTCTTAGCTTGAACTTATTTACCGAGAAATATTTCGAACATTGTCAATGCGGGTGAGGGTGTCTTCACTGTAGTCGAAATATTTTTCAACAAATAAATTTAAGTCAAGAACTAAATATAGAGGGTGATGAAGAATTTCGAGCGGTATGAGAATATCTAATTAGTTTTCTTAAAATGTAGTTTTATATAGGGAATATAATTCTACTAATACAAAGGTGAAGAAGTTATGTACGAATGGGATAGATATATTCTATGAAAAATATTCTTTCCATCCATAATCAATCTCATAACGAAGGATAAATTAAAATGAAAAGTTGTTCGAAGGTTTTTTTAGAATTTGAAAAATTTCTATATTGTCAATTGTTTTCAGGTAGATAGATGAAATTCTAATAAAGAAAAGTTCGGCTAAGTTCAGGGCATGAATAGGTCAATTGATATTAGTTTTGGTAAATATTTTTCGATCCGTTATTGACTAGTTTTTATTGAAATATATATATAAATAGAGATTTTTTCTAAAATAGACCGTTTTTCAATAATGATCAATTTCATTTTTCGTCTATTATTTATTTAAAATATATCAGATTAAAAATCCTTTAAAAGAGCAAGACAATAAATAATTGAAAACATCTTTTTTTAATCTTTTACAAAACGATCAGTTAGGAAGAGCGATCAACTTCTAGAATCTATTTTATAAATAGATAGAGACTTTTTTTTATAAAAATCAACAATAAATTTAACTTTGAATAGACTCTTGGAAACAAGCACTGATTATACTAGAATATTTACCATTAAAACATTATTTTATATTTCACTTCTTATATAAAAAGTTAAACCAAAATAGAAACACACATGTTGTACGATGATCAAGTTAAAAGGAACGTTTTTTTTTTTCTAGATCTTTTCTTTTTAATATTTCCTCCTTGTCAGATTGATTATGGAAAGAATATATTTTGTATAATATATCTAGTTGAGATAGAATTCTTTCTAACAACAACAACAAGATTCTATTCATTTAGAAATCGACAATATGGTAAAAGAGAGTCAGACATTTTTCCAACGATTATTCCATTCAGTTTTATAAAACAAATAAACATTTATTTATTTTGTTTAAATATGATAATTTGTTTTGTTAAGATGATAAAATGATTCTAAGATAGATTTTTGTTTTATTCAATTATCTATCCTTGTTTTATATTAGAATAAAGAATATTTTATTCAACTAATTATATATGAGTAAACATGAATTATATCGAAAGTCAAATTTGGAAAGATTAATATATAAAAAATGATTAAACTCATAAAGTATTTAAATATGGAAAGACGTTCTATGATAATAGAAAAACAAAGAATATTCTTCTATTGTTCTCGTCTTATTTCTAAACAATTTTCAATTTGTTATCACAAATATCGGATTTATCTTTTAACAAAAAAATGTTGGTAGGAGAGTTTGATGCAGTAGTGATTGGAAAAGTGAAAATAAGGATGAGAGTAAGAATGAAGTCTTTATGAGGAACTATTCTGCATAGATATGTATTGCACGGAAGTGTCGATCAACCTTTCCTTTCGATGTCCAAATTTGATAACTTCAATCAGTAGAACATTTTTTCGACATTCTACTCGCAATATTTTTATTTTTCGTCATTATTCAGGTGAATCTATATATCTATGTTAACAATAAAATAAGTTCAAATATTCAGTTTATTATATTAATTAATTAAACTTGATTTATAACAAAAAAAAAAATGGTTTATATTGAATAAATCTATATCTATTATATAATAAAAGAAAATCTATCGTAGACAAATTTTCCCTAATCAAATATTCGAAAATAATAAATGTCATTCGTTGCTTTTATGTCGTCTTTTAATTAAAACTATTATTAAATATATTATTCGATAATATATAATAGATAAGAGTTATCATAATCTTTTCATTTTTTAATATTATCGAATATTAACTTCTATAAATAGATAATAGAATAAACATTTTTATTGTTAATTATCTAATATAAAATAATTGATTATAAGATAGAATATATAACTATTTATAAATGATTTATTATAATATAATTAATTAAATTATTTTATATTATCTATTTTATAGATTCCAATTGTATCATCGGTTAGTGATCGATCAAATATAAAAAATACAAGTTCAAATATTGGAATTGTTAATTCTCTTTGTTCAACAAAATCAAAATTAAATTCATCATTATCTAATCAAACAAATCGTTCAACAACAAATGATGAACGAAATCAATTTGAATATGAAGATTCAATAACATCGACACAATATACATTTAATGATCAACGAATTCAACAATGTTTGTCTTTTTTTTATCTTTTTTATTTTATTCGATTTACTATTTACAATAGAGAAATTATTATTTAGAAAAGATTTTCATTTAAGAATAGATTTTGAAAAAAAGAATAGATTTTGAAAAAAAATCAAGAAAAATTTGTTTGTTTTTTATTCAATATAATTCAATTTAATTCGAATTATTCAAAATAAATCTTTATTTATATTCCGACATTAACCAATAAGATTTTATTTAAAAATAGTTATCTTATAGAAATATTTCGATCTTATTGATAAAGATTCAATCATAGATCATTTTCGATAAACTATTTCAACATTTCATTCATAGACGATAATAAACATTTGCTTTTTTTATTATCGATCTATATTGATTATCGATCTATATTGATTATCGATCTATATTGATTATTGAGGAAGAATATTAATTCTATTTATTAAGATAAAATTATCTATCGGACACCAATTCAAAAGTTAAATTAAACTTTTTTTCAGAAAAATAAAATCAATAAAACTTCTAATGAATTATTTAAAATAATGAAAATGAAATAATTGATTAAAAGGTGAGAAAAATAAAATAAATAATAATGGTTAATTCAAATTTGAATATTTTTTGAGAGAGAAAAAGAGAGAGAGTAAAACATTGAACTTATTTATTTTTATTCTAATGAGATTTGTTCGATTGTTGAAATCGAATATAATTGTTTAGTTAGTTGAATAAAATTCAAAGATTTAAATAGAATTATTAAATAAAGAAAAAGAAAAAAAAATCTTATAAATAAATAATTTATTTTAGTATCGGATATGTTGGATAAAATCTCAAATGCATTATCACAATCGGATAAATCAAATGATCAGTTAGTATTTTAAAAAAGAAAATCTTTATTATTATTTAATAAAAATAAATAAATCTAGATTAACAAATGAAAATGATTTAATTGATGAATATGATATAGATGAATATGAAAAAGAATATAATCGTCTTGTACCAGAATATAATTCTTTAATAGATTATCTTAATTCTGTTTCACAAAAATATTCATCATTTCAACAACAATTTAATGAAGAACAGGTTTTTCTTCTAAATAAATTTATTTAAATAAATAATTCTTATTTTAGACAAATGAAAAAGCATCAAAAATAGTTGAAGAATTTCTAAAATGTGAAAATAATGATGGATATTTAAATAAACGACAACGTCTTTTAGAATTACATATTAAATTAAATAATATACAAAAAATATTTGAAAAAACTTCTCCTTATTCAAATCATTTCGATATATCTGAAGATGATGATGATCATCACGATCATTAATATAAGAGATTTATTCTTTTTTCTTTTTTTAGAATATTTATTTCAGATGAGTTCATCATCGATTCTATTAAATAATCTTCGTCAATTAATGAAATCAAAAAAATATTTTCATCAAATAATTCATGCTTATATTATTCCAACAACTGATCCACATAAAGTTTCGTTTTGTTTTTTTATTATTATAATTATTAGTTTTATTAAACATCTATTAGAATGAATATGTTGCTGATCGTTATAAACGACGAGAATTTATTTCAAATTTTACTGGATCAAATGGTTAATTATTTTCATTTATTTAAAATAAAAAAAAGTGAATTATTATTTATTTCTAATAGGTACAGCTTTAATAACAGAAAATGAAGCTCTTTTATGGACTGATGGAAGATATTTTGCTCAAGCTGAATATCAATTAGATCCAACATCTTGGAAATTAATGCGTGATGGAACAAAAGATGTTCTTTCAATCACAAATTGGATTGCAAGAGTATTTAAAAAACAAAAAAAATTCTTTTTTTTAAATAAATATTTTTTTGTTAAAGAATTTAGAAAAAAATTCATTTGTTGGATGTGATCCTCAACTTGTATCAATAAATGAATGGAAAGAATGGAAAGAAACACTCGAACAATCAGATAAACAACTTGTACCTATAGATATTAATTTAATTGATATTTTATGGGATAAACAAAGACCAGAATTACCAGATGAACCTATTTGGAAACATGATATTCAATATTCTGGTTCGAATTTTATTTTCATAAAATAAGAAAAAAAACGAAAATATTCTGTTTTAAATATCTATAAAAAAAAAAGGTGCTTCAATTGATGAAAAACTGTCAAAAGTTCGATCAAAAATGAGTCAATATCAAGTTGATCATTTAATAGTACACAGAACAGATGATGTTGCTTGTAAGTTTTTTTTTTCTTTTTTTCTTATTTATTAAATAAAATATCTTTTAAAAAGGGTTATTCAATTTACGTGGTGGAGATATTCCCTATAATCCTGTTTTTCTATCATATGCGATTATTTCAAATGATTATGTTAAGTTAGTTAATATAATATATTTTAAAATTTTATTTTATTTTATTTAATTAAGATTATTTGTTGATTTAAATAAATTATCAGATTCAATAAAAAAAGATCTTGAATATGATAATGTTAACATTTATTCATATGATTGTTTTTATCAACAACTAAAAAACGATCTTCAAAATAAAGATCCATCAGATAAATTTTGCGTAATTTCATATTTAAACAATCTATATATATATATAGATATAAATATATTTAGGCATCACCATCATGTAATTATGCTGTACAAACAATAATACCTAAAGTATAGAATTTGACTAGTTTGTTTTTTTCTCGTTATTATTTTGTTTGTTTAAGAAACAATTAGTTATACAAGATGATATTGTTTATGAATTAAAATCTGTTAAAAATCAATGTGAAATTGAAGGAATGAAACAAGCTCATGTAAGTTAGATTTGAACTAGTCTTAGAAGTTTGAATAGATTTTAATAAAATAACTCTTATATCAAATCTATTATAAAAGAATAATTATATTAAATATTATATCTAGAGAATAGAATTATCGATTTAACTATTATCTTAAATAATTTGGATTTATTTAAATGATAATATAAATTCTATAGATATTTAAACAAATTAGATTTTCGAAGAATATTTAATTATATTTTATTTTGAAATAATTTAAATAAAATAAAATATATTAGTTAAATATTTCAATTGTTAATATTATGTTTAGAATATTTTATATTAATTAATATCTATTATTTAATTAAATAATTAAAATAAGGTTCGAAGATTTATTTCTATCGAATAAGTTAAATCATTTATATATATTTAAATAAATATTATTAATTATTCTATAGACGATTGTAAATATTCGAAAATAAATCTTTTATTTATAATATTGACTAATCATAGAAATAATTTATAATATAATGAAAATAAAAATAATATATCATTTATTTTTATAATAAACATATTTATTTTAAAATGTTGACTGGTTGGCTTTTTTTTTATAGAATTTAATCTTTAGATGTTTGTTTTATCTAAGATAAAAAAATTGATTTGAAATAAATTTCAAATAAATAAAAAAAAATTGTTTTATAAAGATAAGTTTTTAAATAAAATCTTTATTTAATTAATTTAGATAAAAGATGGAGTTGCTCTTTGTTCATATCTTCATTGGCTTGAACAAAATGTATCTTTTTTTATTTTTTTTTTATTTTTAAATTATAAATAAATTTGTTTAAGATTGAAAAAAATCAAGATTTAACTGAATATTCAGCTGCTGAAAAATTAAGATCATTTAGATGGTTTGTTAATTAAATTAAATTTATTCAATAATTATATATTTATTATTTTATTTTATTCCAGTAAACAAATCAATTATCTTTATGATAGTTTTGAAACAATATCTGCAAGTGGAAAAAATGCTGCAATTATTCATTACACGTATTAGATTTTCTATATATATCTATCTATCTATATATTCTTATCTATTTAAGTGCAAAGAAAGAATCTGATACAAAAATAACTCGAAATGAATTATATTTAATTGATTCTGGTGGACAATATAAGTTAATAAAAATAAATATATTATTAATTTATTTCTAATATTTGTTTGTTAAAGAGAAGGAACAACAGATGTAACACGAACTGTTCATTTTGGTCAACCATCAGATTTTGAAAAAGTTTTTTTCTTTTTTATTTTACTTCTATAAAAATCATTTATATAATTATTGTTTGAAAAGGAATGTTTTACTCGAGTATTAAAAGGTTTTATATCATTAGCATCATGTTTATTTCCACCGCATACAACTGGAGCTCGACTTGATTCATTGGCACGTCGTTCACTTTGGGATGTTGGGTTAGATTATCGACATGGAACAGGTCATGGTGTTGGTTGTTGTCTTAATGTTCATGAAGGTTTTATTTAATAATAAATATATTTATTTATTTTCATTTTATTTCGTTAAGGTCCACAATCAATTGGTACTCGAATACGTTCCGATAGTTATTTACTTCCAGGAATGATTCTTAGTGATGGTTAGTTCTTTTTTTTTATTAAAAAAAAAAAAAACAGAAAAAAATTTGTTTAAAAATGAAAATAGAACCTGGATATTATTCTGATGATAAATTTGGTATTCGTATTGAAAATTGTGTTCTTGTTGTAAAAAAAAGTTCGAAAGTTAGTTAATTATTTGTTTTATATAAACAATAGAAAAAAAACACGAGTTGAAGTTAATATTTAGTATGGATATTATAATGAAGATTGGTTAACATTTCAACAATTAACAATGGTTCCTATACAACGAAAATTAATTGATCGATCATTATTAAACAATGATGAAGTTTGTTATTTTTTTTTTAATTAAAAAAAAAAGTAAAAATTCTTATTTATTTAAATAATAGATTGATTATATAAATAAATATCATGAAAGAGTTCGTCAACTTATTCGAGATGAAATGATTAAACAAAATGTTGAAAAAAGTTTATTAGAATGGATTCACACAAATACAGAAACTATTTAATTTAAACAAGATATTTATTTATATCAATGCAATTATTATATTTAAATAAAGAATACTTTTTTTCATCGAAATTCAGTGTTTTTTTTAAAAGAATTTCATTGATACTTTTCTGTCTTTCTTATAAACAGTTTATTTGTGATTAACATCTATTAAATAAAATAATTCTATATATATATATTTCAGATAATCGATTGATTATTTATGTCTCGATATTCAGGATAATAATTAATATTTAACAAAACAATATTTATTTATATTCAATCTTTCCAATTCGAATATCAATCAATTAAAAGAAATTATTTCGATAGAATATTAGTTTACTTTTTTGAAAAAGATTACTTTTTTATTTTATATATAGAAAACGAATTTGTTTCATCGAACAAGTTAATATATATTCAATATAAGACAATCTATCGTCAGTTCTCCACTCTTAAATCATATTTATTTATTAAATAAATAATCATCATCAATAGAAATAGAAGAGACTTTTTATTTCGATTTATCCTTCATAGAAGATAAACTTTGAATTTATTTTAGATATAAAATTTAACTAATAGAAATATTTATAGAACTAGCGCACCTTTTATATATATTTATCAAATTTATCATCTATCGTATCCTTATATTATATCTAGAACAAATAGAGAGGATATTATTTATTAAATAACTCGGACCAAATTACTTTGAAGAATATGTTAAGATATATTATTTTATTCTCTTCTATAGTTTAACTCTTCTCTCTTACGATAAAAACTCAATTTCGAGAGAATAGAAGAATTCAACCGCGATTATCCTTACCTCATATATGTTAGAATATAATTATATTGAGAATATATTCTAAATGAATAGATATAGATAATACTATTTTAAACTGTCAAAGATAATTTATCTCGATATCAATAAACAACTATTAAAACAATTTTATATAGAATAAATAGTCGATTAGATCTCGAATAGAAAAAACAAGAATAAAAGTTAATTGAAATCGACATAAAATGAAATATGTTAACGAATGATAAAATAATACTCGAAATAAATAACTGTTTATTATTGATTAAATAATAAAAATGAGATTGTTGGATAACGATTTCGATCAGGTCGATTATATAGAAAGAAATCATCTAGAATTTAAATCGATAGATATATTAACGTTATGAAATATGTATGTGTTAAACGATAGATGAGAATTTGAATAGAGTTTGTTAAATAGGAATATTAAATGAATTCGATGGAATCTATTATTTTATTTCGAATGATAATCCGATGAATTTATTCTCTTTTAATAACAGAATCAATTATTTCTAGAAACGCTTTTTTCTATTTATCGACAAAAAAGATTTCTTTATTTTCAATTTTAATTTAAAGATTTTATTTTATTTGAATTTTAATAGATATTATCTAATATATGAGAGAATTTCGATAAAATTATATATTTTATACCGACAAATAATTGTTTCTCTGTTTTTTTTTTGAAAAAAAAAATGTGAGTTGAATTGATATGTTAAAAATAAAGGTAAATAGTTAATATCTTTCGATTTGTTAATATATAATTAAATCGAACTATTTTATATTAGTTTTCATTTTGTAAATGTTGTTCTTGTTTTTATAAAATAATTAAATAAAAATGATTTATTTAAAGATGAAAGATAATGTTAATTAAATGTTTAATCGAATTGATATTTTATTAAAATCGATATTAAAATTAAAATTAAATTATCAAAAAATGTCAACTAAAATAGTTCGTATCGGTGTCTGTCAATTAAATAGTCGTGGTGATAAACAAGAAAATTTTCAAATAGGAGAACAATTAATAAATCAAGCTAAAAAAGAACAAGCTAAAGTTTGTTTTTTTAATTTAAATTAAAATTCTAATAAATGTTGAATAGATTGTCTTTTTTCCTGAAGCATTTGATTATATATCTGAATCAATATCAGAAACACTTGAAAAAGCTGAACCAATTGATGGTCCAATTATAAATGGATATAGACAATTAGCAAAACAACATCAATTATGGATTTCATTAGGTGGTTTTCATCAACGAGTCCGTTTTGAAAGTTTTTTTCTTTTTTTTTTTTAAATTAATTTATTGAAAAAAAATCGTTATTTAAGTCAGGTGATGGAACTCGTGTATTAAATAGTCATTTAATAATAAATGATCAAGGTGATATTGTTGGTCGATATTCAAAAATACATTTATTTGATGTTCAAGCTGGTTCTCAAGTTATTCGAGAGTCAGATTTTACACAACCTGGTTCATCTATTACTAATCCAATTGAAACACCAGCTGGAAGAATTGCCCTTGGAATTGTATTTTATTTAATTTATATTTTTTCCTATTATTTTATTTTATTTTAATTTAGTGTTATGATCTTCGTTTTGTTGAATTTGCTCGATTATTAACAGCATCTCATGAAAATGGTGCACAAATTCTTACTTATCCTAGTGCATTTACTAAACATACAGGAGAAGCTCATTGGGAGGTAATTTATTCAGATAAATAATAAATTATCTTAGAAAAACGAATTTCTTTTATTTTACATAAAATTCATTTTGAAAAAGGCTTTTTAGAAAATCGACACATAAGAAAAGAAATTATTTTCAATTTTAAGAGAAGATAACGTATGATCATTTGACATTATCATTTGACTAAATTTCTTTTAAAAATCTTTTATTTCCATAACCGATAACAACAATTCAAATTTTCCTTGCAATAGAAAATTTGTTTTTTTCGATAAGCTTTTTCAATAGAAATATCAATTATCAACAAAATCAAACTTCATCCAACTATTCATTAGGTTTTTTCCTTATCATTGATTTATTTTATCAAAGACCCAATAAATTATCTTTTCACACCGAATAATAGAAAACAAACCAGTGTTTATACCTTACCTAAGATTGATGTGTGACAAACAAAGACTTGTAGAGATCCTGGAAAACACTTCATTTTCTAGATAATTCTTTCCTCGATCATATTGTTCTATTCAAATAGAATTATATTTCAGATTTTTTAGATCGAAAAAGTTGCCTTTTTCACTTTTCGAGAGAGTCTATTCTTGACAAGCTAGCAATTGGTTTTATCTTCGAATATTTTTTATGAAAATAATAGATCTTCCATAATAAATGGTTGAATTTTGATCTTAACCTTTATAGGATCTGATAGAATTTATTTTAAATCAATATATATCATGAAACACAACATAGTTAATACTCTAATCGGAAATCACTAATTTCATAGTAATCACTTTCGGCAATTGCCGGAAGTTCGGTCTTGCTGAGGACAATAAATCTGATAAAAAGTCAACTATTGCCAATAGAGAAAAGTCTGTATTTAAGTCGTAAATCTAGTAATTAATCATGTTTACAAAATTGGACTTTGGCAAATTTTTTTTTAAATTGATCAACGTTTCGATAATGAGTAATTGACCCATTGATAGAAAACGCATACCAACTGGAAAACTAAATAATTCAACGTGCGAAATTCAATGATTCTAAGTTATGATTCGGTTAAATATTAGGTTGAGTATAACACCTCTATGAGAAGACATATGAAAAGTGAATAGTATCAAAGATAGATTGCAAGCTTTTCAGTGTCAATGGGAGTATTAATGTGAACATATTTGTGATTCGAGTGCAGATACTAGCATCCCACATCCTGCATGACAAAGATCCTACATGGGATTCGCTTCCGGTCACATAATTCTAGAGCAGAACCAATAAAAATCGAAAAATTCTTATCCTTGGAGTATTGACAACGTCCAATTTCATGTTGCCAAAAGTTGAGTAATTAATAAATAAATTGTCAAGAGTCTACTGATAGCCTATTTAATTAAAAGATAATGTAAAAATTAAATTAGAAAAGTTTCAGCAATTGTCAGAAGTAAATTGGGAATGTCAGTAGTGAGAAATTGATCCTATCTCGGTAATATGCAGAAAAAATCTTATTTTATCAATATATATTCTTTTTAAAATCGATTAAATTCAATTTTATCGATTTTTGACGGTAGGTATGAGACGATTCTTTGGTATATAAATAATACCTTATTTTATTTCATTAATTAATAGGTCTTACTTTTTGAGTTTATCTCAATAGATATTCTAGCCAATATGATCTGAGACATAATAATTGAAAATGTTGAGATGCAGACTATTCTATATTAATTTACTTTGATGAATCAATTGAGTAAACGTTGTTCTTTATCTATACTAGTCAATATTAATGTATATTCGGTCTTGCGTTGTCTTGTTGATAGATAAAATGATTATCTAATAGGAATTGATCGTTTAGTTTGTCGATGTGAAAAAACAAGTTGAATATAGTTATTATCTATAAATATTTCACTGGGTTGAAATCTGAATGGATTTCTAAGATAATATATTGATACTCCGATGTATATGAGAATTATTTTTCGAAATTAGCCTCTTTATTTTATTTGTTCGCGTTCATCTCTTGTTGATTTATGTTTATCATGAAGGCTTGGATCAATAATAAGATGATCAACATCGAAATGAAGATCGTCGTCAACTACACAATTGATTGTCCTCTTGGAAATAAGACGTTACTTAGCTTATTTTTTTGCATTTACCAGATTATTCTAAATCAACTTATTTTTAACTTTTTGAATAAGAGTTATTATTAATATTATTTTCGATCTACCAGTAGTCTTTTCTACTAACTTATAGTTGTTCTTCTCTATAAATATTCTCATCGTCTAACTGTAAGTTTGTTGACAACCTTTGGTAATTGTTTAACAATTTTCATCGATGATATATCCCATTATTAGTGATTGGTAGTATCACTTTTCGAAGGTCTTTTAGTTTTATTTTAAAGTTAAATCTAAAAAGCAATTATAGAGTTGAGATTTATCCGTGACGGAACTGTTGAGTAGTTGAAATACATAATGTAATAACAAGGTGTAAAAAAAGATAAAATTGATATAGATTGATTGGTGGAAAGATCGTTGATTTATTATGGAATAGAGATTTCAATTTTCTAGTCAAT